GGGGGGGGGGGTGAATAGTTACGCACACTAAAGATTTCCGTTTTTTAGTCTTATTTCTCGTTTGTATCACAATAAAACAAATATTTGGCATTTTCAGAGTGTTGGGCATGTTGTGTAAATCAAATGATACAAACCCCCAAAAATCCATTTTAATTCCAGGTGGTAATGCAAAGCGGTGTGAATACTTTTGCAAGCCAATGTATATTGTGTGGAATGATCCATGCACTTACCACACAGGCAGAACTCCTCCAATATATTCATGGTGGAGATGTTGAAGAAGTGGAGGTTTCTGCTGGTGGTGGCCACGGTGATTCTGTGCACGTCGGGCAGATAAATAGCATCTGTAACCCAAGACTTGAACCTTCTCTTCCCCGTCTGGGGGGAGTGGGAGGAGATCTGTAGAAGGAGAGAATTCTCTTAGTCTATAGAATCCTGCAATGCACGGCACACAAGCCAACCCTGTCCTGTACACCCGCACTGGGAGGAGCAATAGAGGGCCCTTGGAGATGGATTGTGAGCACAGTGCTACCTCGGGTCACGACCTTCATTCATTCCACAATTCTGCTTGCAAACCGAATCAAATTCCCCCAAAGAATTCTATGTAATTCGGGGGATTCCGTTCTGAACCAAATGTATTTATTTGTTTTACCACAAAACTATGAAACAAAGAAGAGTACCAAGGAGAGTGAGCAGGAACCTTTCCGGGGCGACTCCTGGTGTGGGGAGGAGGCGGTCTTCCTAACGCACACTAAAGATTTCCGTTTTTTAGTCTTATTTCTCGTTTGTATCACAATAAAACAAATATTTGGCATTTTCAGAGTGTTGGGCATGTTGTGTAAATCAAATGATACAAACCCCCAAAAATCCATTTTAATTCCAGGTGGTAATGCAAAGGGGTGTGAATACTTTTGCAAGCCAATGTATATTGTGTGGAATGATCCATGCACTTACCACACAGGCAGAACTCCTCCAATATATTCATGGTGGAGATGTTGAAGAAGTGGAGGTTTCTGCTGGTGGTGGCCACGGTGATTCTGTGCACGTCGGGCAGATAAATAGCATCTGTAACCCAAGACTTGAACCTTCTCTTCCCCGTCTGGGGGGAGTGGGAGGAGATCTGTAGAAGGAGAGAATTCTCTTAGTCTATAGAATCCTGCAATGCACGGCACACAAGCCAACCCTGTCCTGTACACCCGCACTGGGAGGAGCAATAGAGGGCCCTTGGAGATGGATTGTGAGCACAGTGCTACCTCGGGTCACGACCTTCATTCATTCCACAATTCTGCTTGCAAACCGAATCAAATTCCCCCAAAGAATTCTATGTAATTCGGGGGATTCCGTTCTGAACCAAATGTATTTATTTGTTTTACCACAAAACTATGAAACAAAGAAGAGTACCAAGGAGAGTGAGCAGGAACCTTTCCGGGGCGACTCCTGGTGTGGGGAGGAGGCGGTCTTCCTCCATAAGGCCATCGGGGGGGCGGGGGGGGGGAGT